CAGACCGACGATGGCTACACGGCTTCCACTCCCTTGGATCGCTCATGGACTGGAGTCACGATCTTCCAGATCAAAGGCGACCTTCGTCGAGAGATGGCCATGTTCGCTAAGGCCCCACTTCAAGGAGCACGACAGCTTGGCAAGGAGACCAAACTCCGGCACGCCAAAAGCTTCAAGAAAGACAAGAACAAGAACAACCTCTCGGAGCGCCACATGACTCCTGATGAGCGAGCAGCCTTCAAAGCTGCAAAGGTCAAAGAGTTGCAATCCTTCTTTGACAACCACGTCTGGCAGTTCGAGACCACCAGAGGAGCTGAGCCCAGTCGGACGCTGACCAGTCGCATGCTGCTGAAGTGGTCAAAGAATCCTGATGGCAGCCCCCGTGCCAAAGCCAGGCTCATTGTCAGAGGCTTCATGGACCCAGACGCTTGGGAAGGAACTGTTCCAACATCATCGCCCACAACCACGAGGCTGTCGAGATCCATGTTGTTGAGTTTGGCCTCCACCATGCAGTGGCCAATCTGGACTTCAGACATAGCAACCGCCTTCCTGCAGGGTCGACCTCAGACACGCAAGTTGTGGGTGCAGCTTCCTCAAGAGTGTTTGCAGTTGCTTGGAGCTACAGCTGACACCCGTATGTTGCTTCTCAAGCCCTGCTACGGCCAGATCGATGCCCCGAGATCTTGGTTCATGGCTGCAGTTGATAAGCTGAGCGCTATGGGCCTCCGACAGCATCCTCAAGACCCTTGCTGCTTCTTGATCTATGAAGGTGACCTCAACCCTGAGTATGACACCACAGCTGAGCACTCCAACCTGCTTGGACCTCATGGCCTATGTGGTATGGTCATCATGCACGTCGATGACATGCTTGGTTGCGGTTCGCCATCCTCCCAGTGCTACAACGACACCATCACCAAGCTGAAGAGCACCTTCAACTTCCGTGAATGGAAAACTGGTGATGATGGAAAGCCCTTGACCTATTGTGGTTGTGACATTCAGGTCAAGGATGATGGTCTCCTCCTCAACCAGACCAGCTACATGGGAAAGGTGAAACCGATCACCTACGACAAGAAGCGCAGCCTCACCGATGCGCTCAACCAGCGTGAGTTGACACAGCTGAGAGGACTTCTTGGTTCACTTCAATGGCCCGCAGTTCAAAGCAGTCCTCACTTGCAGAGCAGCACCTCGATCCTGAGCGGTCATGTCACCAAGGCCACGCTTCAGACAGTGGCCGACACAAATCGCCTGCTGCGTTTTGCAAAAGAAAATGCTGATGTTGGCCTACAGTACAGCCACCTGGGCGAAGTTTCAGAACTTTGTTTGGTATGTTTTTTTGATGCTGCCTTTGCCACCCGCAGTGACGGAGCCTCACAAGCTGGCTATGTGATCCTGATGGTCAACAAAGCTTTGCTTCAGGCCAATGGTCCCGAAGGAGCCTACCACGTGTTGGATTGGCGCAGTTTGAAAACGCCAAGAGTTGCACGCTCTTCCTTGGGCGCCGAAGCACAAAGCGGTGGTCAAGCTTGCGATGCCTTGGAGCATGCCAGCATCTACTGGAGCTTGTTGGTTGACCCTCGCCAGCGACTCCAAGAGCTCTTGGGCGCTCCATCCTTGTTGTCGCCCACCATGATCACGGACGCCAAAGCCCTTTACGACTCCTATCACCGAGAAGGAGTCGGAAGCTCTGTGGTTGACAAGCGAGTTTCGCTTGAGATCCGTGTGATGAAGGATCGCCTGTCTTCACTGGGCGGTTCTTTGAGGTGGATGTCATCGGAGCGCCAACTGGCTGACGGTTTGACAAAAGAGTCGGCCAGAGCACTTCTTGCACAACGGCTACGTCACGGTCGTTTGAAGCTTGTTTGGGACCCCTCATACAAAGCTGCCAAGAAGAAGACAAAAGCTGAACTCCAACAGAGTCTTGCTGAAAGCATCCATGTGGTACCACCACATGTGATCAATGAGGAACCTGAAAGCATCCATGTGGTACCACCACATGTGATCAATGAGGAACCCGAAAGCATCCATGTGGTACCACCACATGTGATCAATGAGGAACCCAACCTCCACGAGGAGCACCAGCAGCCCATCGACGAGAATCCTGCGGAGAATGACGTGAATGTCGATGAGCAGGTGTTTTGGAATGAAGAGATTTTTCGGAATTCCAAGGTTCCTGTGAATGTCATGTTTGTCAGGACCGACCGGAAGCTTGAGTATGTCTCCGACAGTCCGAGCCATGTCGGAAGCCGCCCGCTCGAGTCCTACTGCGGTCGTAAGACGAATTTCATGTTTTGGTTTTTGCTTTTGTTCATGGCCCCGCAGCTGGTCACGGCCGATTCGGCCAATGTGGAACCTGAAGCTGGAATGGATTGGTTTGGAACTGTTTTGTGCACCCTCCTTCTACTTTTTTTGAGCACAGCCTTCATGGTTGGTCGATGGAGCCATGATGCACACCACCGAGTACCACCCCAGGTCACTGAGGCTGCAGTCCAAAAGGATGAAGCGATCATCCCAGCTCGCCTTAGAGAAGAAGTCAAACGCCTGAAGCAGGAAGTCCTGCGCTGGAGTTCCAAAGCCGAGGAGTCCCGCCTTGCTGCTGTCGAAGCCACGACAGCGATGAATCTGGTTCTGAGAAACCAGAATGCTGCTGAGACCCTTGCACAGGAAGCCTCCCAGATCCTGAAGATCGCCCTGAGGCAGATGGATGAGCATGGAAATGAATGCCCCTTCTACAATGGCATGATCATCAGCCGGCATGGCGCCAGATGGCACACGACCTTGAACTGTTCAAGCCTGGCCGGAAGAGATGAAAGCCTGCAGCGGCGAGTAGATTTCTGCCGCCTTTGTAGTTTGAGGGTGATTCCACCTGACCTTGTCGATGATCGGTCAGGCTCATCTGTGCGGACCTTGGTCTACCAATGGCTGGACCGGTTCGAACAGCGGAACTGGGGTGATGACGAAGGACTCTCCCCCATGTAAAGTTCACGCTGTGCACTTGTGTTTCGGCAGTTCGAACTGTTTTCGACCTTCACTTACCGTCGTTCCCTCTCAAGACTGGGAGGGCAGTTGCCTTGCAAAAGGCGCGGCCGCGGCGCTTCAGTGCGCCCTCTTGTTTTCGTGTTTGCGGACTTCGGGTGCCGCTGCTACCTTTTTCGCAGCAGCAATTGTGTGCAAAAGTAGTCAATGCTTTTGTGAACACGGATGGAATGCAAGAAGTTCGTTTGAGCTCTGAGGGCTCTAAGGGAATCAACAAGTGGAAAGACCGATAGACTCCGATAGACTTACTTAGATCTCACCCACTGGCATGGATGGTCTCATGAAGGGAGACCTTCCCAAGAAGGCAACTCCTCAAATGCTGATGTACATCTCACTTTATATCACTGGGCTTGGCCATTCTTGTGCATGGTAACCCCATGTCACACAGCCTGTCTCCTGTCGCACACGAGGTGCGCTACAACGAGTTGCGCTTGTTAGCCGTTGCCCTCTTGAGGCGCTCCGTGCGGGACGGCGTTCCTGCGAAGTAGCCCTTGAATATCATTTGGGACCACGTTCTTTTGTCAAAAGGATCCTTCAGTGAAGAACGGGATCCAACTTCGAACCTCTCCCTGTGGCCGGCCAGACCCATCGAGCCACTCTTCAAGCTGGCAGGCCGGGTATAAGAGACTGGGCGGTGGGATAGAGAGTCTATGACTCTACGAATTGAGAATAGTTGATATTTGTTTTTTGGGGGGCTGATTATATATATATATATATTAATTATATACAATGTTAAACAAAGAAACAGTAATTTTTACATCTTTTCAATGACATTCAGTGACAATGTTCCACTGGACTCTGGTCAAACACGTTTGCACCAAATCAGTGCCGCGGCATGCCATGCTTCGGCTGCACGACCGCTTCCCCTGGCCGCTGGCCTTTCACAATCATTCCACGCATTTTGTGTTCCTTTGTCTCGTAATTGCTGCCTGTTCCTGACTTGCTCTCCTATTTCCATGCCTCTTCCACCCCTCCATTGTCCTTGATGTCCAAGCCAAAAGAAACCGCCCTTTCTGCACAAAGTCTTTTTGGGAACGCCTAGGACTTCGGGAAGTGGCGGGCCAAATGTTTGTCACTGATTTTCCTGACCGAAAGCATGAAAGGTTTTAGGCCCACCAGCCTTCAAGCCGGCCACCAGATCACAAAAGATTGTTTTCCCCAGAGTTCGCCCCGTTTTGGAGGCTACAATCCGGTGCTGACTGCACGGATGGAAGGGCCCCACCAAGCTAAGCATACAGGAAGACAGAGAAGGGGAGAAACCTTCCATGAGTAGAATGGAGGCCTTCATGACAGCTATATGTTTACATATTGTGTCATATTAGGTTGGAGGCCATGGCTACTAGGTTGGAGGACTTCAATTTCATATGTTTGCATACCGTCAAATAGCTGATCGTTACTTTGCCATGACCTGAACATCCTGAAGCAGAAGCTAAAGCTAAGATGCAAATCAAGAGAAACATCTCTATAAGCTTTTGGCTTCGATTTCTGGAGCGGTTTTCCTGCCAGTCACAGGTGCGCCTGCGTTGTTTTTTGCGCCTTCCTGAGGCGCCCCGCTTCCCACGGACACCCTTGACTTTGCAATGCCCAGGACATGTGGAGGGGAAATCGGCCTGGCACAGGAAAGGGCATAGGCGGTGGAACCCTGGTGGTCAGTGGAACCCGGTGGCTTGCAACCAACCAACCAACCAACCAACCAACCAACCAACCCCAAACAATTTGGACATGTATTTGTTTGTTCTGTGTCACATGATCGTTTGAGGCATTGCAGGCTAGAGACAGATCTCATGGGACAAGTTCGCTCCGTTTCGCCCGGAGAGCGAAGACGCTTCGGGGGGACGCTTCCTTGAAGCGCTCACACTAATGAATGATTTGGTTCCTACTTGTAGATTGTAAGTTGTATAGATAGCGCTAATAGATTGTAACTATAGATGTTTGGGGAAACTTCACTTTCATTTGCTGTCACCTCGATGTTGTTGCGAGCGCGTTTGAGGCGTTTGAGGTTTAACCAGTGGAGTCGCCAATCAAATGCACCCTCCAGCTTCGTACGCTGCATGATACGTACGTCCTCCAGCTTCAGGCTCAGCCAATTCATACAATTCAAGCGATATACGCTGCACAATCCAGCATAAGGAGTGTTGTGCGAATGTGGAAGAAGCTCGATTTTGCCCGACCACTGAAAGGCGCGGTCAATCACAGCCAAGTACTCCAGTGCATTTGTCACATACTTTCCATCACACAGATGATTGCCCCATCCGCTTGCCCGCGCATGGGGGGAGCATCTTAATCCACAGCAGGAATCGAAAGGATCAACCGAAATTCACGACAGGAAACGGCACCCGCCAGCCATGCCGCTCCGATCCGCTTGGTCACTGAACCCACTGATGATGCAGCATTGATGCCTTTGGGTGCTGCGTCACATGGCAATCGGCAATGAGTTGTGGGTCATGCGATCCATGCGAAGTAATTGCGTAATTGAAATGGGGGAGGCTCTCCTGCCTCATTGCTTTTAAACCGCTTCATGCAGCACACAACTTGTACTCCTCGTGCATTCCTTCCAAGCGAGTTTTTTTGCCTGAAAGATGTTCTTGTTTCTACGGCATAAGGCGAGGTGGCACAATGCTGAAAAAGGAGTTGCGAATGCTTAAGTGGAGGTTCTTTAATTCCAACACAGATGACCCGAGCCCTGGCTAACAGTTTTTCCAGATCAATAGATCTTCATTCCTGTAAACTGAGATGAGTTCTGCCTCAGTTGTGTCAGCAATGACAACACAATCTTACAGGGGGAGAAATGATGGGACATTGGCGCATTGCTAGGACCCCTCACTGCTGTCAACCCCTGGCCTCTGACAAGAATCAATCATGCAACATCCATGTGGGCTTCTCTCAAAACAAGGCGTTTAGTGGGTTGCATCCTGAATCCCATCCAGAAAAGGGCCTTAGTTGCATCCATTTGCATCCAAAAGGATGTTGGTCAAGACATTCCTGAATTTCCAAGTGAAGAGTGAACATTTCCAATTTCCAAGTAGACTCTTTCAAACAAGTGGGGATTTGTTGCTAAATTTTTGCATGCTGATCTGACAAGATGATGCCAGTTGACCTAGGTCAGCGATCGAGGTGGCGCTACCTCGACCTCCAACCAAGGTGAGATGCAGATGTTGTAGCAGGGCTTGGTTGCAAAAAGACACCTTGAAATGTGGGAGAAAGTCAATCAGTGGTTGGGGCATTGATCGAATCCATATGATGGTTTGGTCCAGCACAGCTAAGTCATGGTTGCTCTGAGAAGTCACGCAGCTGTATGCACACAAAAAGCAGGCAGTTTGGCCCTCACACTGATGTACCGCAGTGCTACTTTGGTGGTGCAGCTCCCTACTACCATGTAGAGATGGTTTGTTCTTCCAAGATGTGCAAAGCAGCTGGCAGGAATGCTGCTTTTTGTAGTCAGCACCCGGCCCTGTTGGTCACGCATTAACTCGAGTCCAGATTTGAACAGCTTGTGTGAATCATGTTCCTCACGGTCAAGTTACTAGTAGGGTCCTTGTTACTAGTACGTAGTAAGGCCAGGAGCTACTAGTGCCCTTTGTTACTAGTAGCGATGCCCTTTGTCCGTGAGGTGTGTCAAGTTCCTGAGGTTTCTCGCGCAACTCGTGTCGTGCTTCAAACACAACCGCAGATGCGCTTGCTGTCGCCGGAGCTGCGGTCCGCCATCGAAGAGAAGCAGCTGGCCACTAAGAGGGCAGCGAAGACCGCTCATGGCGAGCCCGCCGAGCAGGAGTGCCAAAGTGGTTGGGTCGGACAAGCCAGTACTGAAGGGCTGAGCACGGAAGCTAACTCCCTCAGATGGCCGAAAAAGCCCCCATCTCAACTGGTGGTCAACTAGACAAAGAAGTGGGTCTTCTTATATAAGCCAAACTGCATCTTGACAAGCTTAGTCACCAGCTTGACAGATGTTCTCTGAGTCAAAAACTCCCTGCTTTTCGAGGATGTGATCCGCGAGGCCCGGAAGATCGAGTCCCAAGGAGGCGCCGCGGTGTCAAAGAGAGCGACAGGCGACAGGCTTCGGCGACGTGGTCCAGTGGTTTTCTTCAGCCCCCTTCTGGGAGTGTTTGGGATTTTCATGGGGAAGCTTCACTGTTTGGTTTGAGTAGGATTTGATGTTTGGCCTCCCCAAATCTCAACACGTCTTCTAACTAGCGCATGATTTGTTGCACACATGTGCCATGTTGATTGTTTCTTTGGGGTGTCTTGGTTCTTCGTCGCCAGGTGTTGGTGGACATGGTGCTGGACATGGCCCATGGGCTTCCAGTGCTCCAGGCGAATGGCATTACAAAGGGTGTAAAGGATGTGATTGCCACAGTGACCAGTGGCAGTCTGACACTTCGAGTTTGAAGTTGTTTCACAGCTGGAACATGTTGAGATCCTTTGGCAACTTTGGCACGTCCAGTGCCATCAGGCTATGGAGCTCAAGGAGCATATGGACCACATGCTGGGGCTTATGGCTACGGATCACAAAGAGGATGGCCAGGAGCGCACGGTCCTCCAAGACAGCGTTGCTTGGCTGCACCAGGTATGATCACTTTGTCCAACATCATTTTTTTGGCCTAAAACCCAGCTTTGGATGGTTCCTCTGGATCCCTTGGACACCTGGGCCCACCGGCCATGTGAACATGCTGTTCGCCAGGCTTTGCGCACCCTGGACAACACCTACATGATGGACCACGGGGGGTCCACCATGGTCGTGCTGCGTGTGGAAACCCAGATGGACCCCATGGGGTGGAGCCGACTCCCAATCCATCCATAGGGTGGAGCGGACGAAGCGAAGCTGAACTGGGCTGATGTTAGGCTGAAGTTTGGAAAGATAGGCTGGTTTGTCATGCCCATGTTGCTTTGGATGATTTGAGCTGGGAATTGAAAGTATACTAGCTTATACTGAACCGTGGCAGCCTTTAGCGTCCACGCTTTGGAGCGGAAAGGTTTAGCTTGAAAGCGTTGGATTGAGGTCCGCTGGCGCGGCAGGCCCAGGGCAAGCTCAAGTCTCTCGACAGCGATGAAGTCGAGAAAAGAAACAACTTGTTGGTTCCATGGAGGAAAGATGCTGCACCTTCCAGACTCGACCAACTCCCTACTTGACCTTCTTCACGATTGATTTGAGTCGGGGCATTCATAGCATCTAGCAGAATGCCTTTGGGTGGTAGCTGACTCTAGTGGCCAGAGTAGATTAGACATAGGGGAACCAGGCCATACCCTGTTGATCCCTTTTGTATAAATGCCAATTCTTCTCCAGAAAGCTGGTTGCTGCCACAAGGATTTGCAGGTTCCGTGTGAGCTCAAAACCCATGATATAGACAAGCTATCCATGCTTCCTCGCCCAACTCGCACACAGTCTCGCACACAGTCGAACAATGGACAGATGGTGGATGTGGTTCCTTGGAACGGACCGCTGGGGTGTGCGTGTGTGTAAGATGCCCAACTCGCACAGTTTGTTCAAGAGTACGTATACCCCCAAAAAATCATAGGTATGCGAGTGTATACCCACATCTCTTGTTTAGAGTCATGCTTCGAACGTACAGCAAATCACATGGGCCTGTTTGACGGTTGTTTCAGCCTTTGAGAAAGGGAAATTGGCTCCTGGAATTCGAACAGTTCAGCTAGGCCCGCTATGAAGTTTCGCATTGTGTTTGAGGATAACTTCCAGTTGTAAAGCCATATTCATGCGGGTCTTCCATCCGTGCTTTGCAGGACGGATGGAAGAAGGACCCTGTGATCCTGAAAGCGTTTTCGAGGTCAGGGCAAAGGTTCGGCGACTTGGAATCACAGAGGAACATGTTTTGTGGCATGGCCATGGCCAAAGAGCACGGCCTTCCAGCAAGGGCCTGTTTGTTTGGTACGGCGCAACTATTAGAGAAAGCGGCCTTCCTGCGGTCCGAGCTAAGGGACTTGGCGCCACATTTGCTGAGCTCAGGTTGCGCCTCTCGAAGGAAGTGTGTTTCTAATTAATAGCTTCTTGTTACTAGTAAGGTACTTGTTACTAGAAGCGATGCAGTTGTTCCTAGTAGCTTCTTGTTTCTAATGGCTTCTTGTTACTACAAGGGCTGGGTGGCCCTCAAGATGTGGATGTTACACTCTGAGCCACTAACAGCCATGGCCTGTGATGGCCTCCAACCACACTCTGAGTCACCAACCTGGAAGTGGATGGCATGGTCCCTTGGAAGACTACTTTCCTTTACGAACAGGGGGTTCTCCACTTCCATGTGATGTGTTCGTCGAAGTGTATATGATGTTGCCAAACTGCTGCGTGGCAGTGCAGGGTGCCATACAGCTTGTGGATTGCTCGACTTTTGGGTGGTTATCTTTCAGTTTATGGTGGAGCCTCAGAGGAAGCGTCGTCCCAGATTATATACATACACAATAATATACAGTAATGCGGCGAGATGGACTGAGGAGAAATATGTCATGGATGCCGACAAGATGCTGAATAACTTGCCCACCGACTTTGCCTCAGACATGGTCCCTGCTGCTTGGACCGTAAACCACTCCGAACGCTGATCAAGAGTCATCCTTGAGGCACCTCATGTGTTGGTCAAGAATAATTACACACACGAAAAAAGCAACGGATAGTCGATCTACATCGCAGTTTGATGCAAGAAAGGCACTGTTGTGGCGTTGTTATTTGCTTATCAACCGTGTGTTGCTCGTGTGTTGCTTTGTTTGCTCGTTGATCGACCTTCTACAGTTATAGTTATTCTACAGTATGTAGTTTGTTTTAGCACAGGCAATGCACACACTGGCATCCTGCCGCAGAGGCAGATGAATCAACGTTGCTTTTGGAAGTGTTCTGCATTTGCCCCCGACTATTCTTGGGCACTTCAATAATGCAAATCCCCTTTGTTTCAGGAAATTGAGATGTGGTTCAGAACTGGTCGAAATATAGTATTGCAACTATAATGTAACAAATTGGTGCAGGGCTATGCTATGATGTCCTCATATCAAGGTAATTACTTGCGTTAGGACCGCCTGTGGTTGTTTCTTGCCGCCTGCACGCGTCATGTCAGTCGCGCCCCAAGCAGGCGCCCGGCTTTGCCCGGTACTCGTCAGCCCAAGGCTTGCAAGAATGACTACCTCGTAAAGTCTGCTGCCAAGACCGTCTATGATGTGGAACGTTGTGCGCAGGTGGCCATGGCACGAGCCGAGCATATGAATGAGGAGGACAAAGTTGAGATGGAGAAGAGACTCAGATAAAAATAAACGTTTGAAGATCCTTGTGCTAGTGGCCACTACCAAACAGAAAGCGAGGTCTTTTCTGTATAAACAAAAATAGTTATTTGGTAAGACTTTGCATTCTTTAGTGAGGTGCTGTGATTTAGGAACACACACACCTCAGGGAACGCAGTTTGTAGAGACGTGCTTGTAGAGATGAACTTGAATCGCCCGTCAGCTTGTTGCCTTGAACAAATGGCATGCTTGAGGTCAAAAGCGAGTGTCTCTTCACCACATGGAATCAACCCACGCGTTCCGCCGCTAGCCGCTGCTTCACGTTCCTAGTCTCCACCTCCAAGCTCCACCAACGCATTCCTCTCCAGCTCCCCCCAGTGCAGATCGCATTCCTCCCATTTCTGGCCCAGACGACTGTGATGATTCAACCTTCAAATCCCTTCACCATCATCCAATGTAACTTCTCTATGTGGTGAGGTGGTCTTTGCTGCAGTTCCTTCAGAGAATGGGTTTGGTTTTGAAGGCGAACCAGGATGAAGTTCTGTAACATTTTGTGGCGCGTGTTGAACGATGTGCTCGTCATATAGACATCGTTAAGGTCGTGACATACATTTTCGATTGAGATCTCATTAGGACTCATATTGTGGTTGAGGACTTTGTTTTCTTGTCCAGAAGTTATTTTGTGGTCCTGTGTTTGGGACCATTCATTCTGTAGAGAATGAGGTCGGGCAAGCCGGTCTGTACTGCATCATATATTATCCAAGGGTCAGTAGGCAAATTGCACGAAAGATGTTCGAAGGATTTGTTGCAACTCTGAGCGTATTCTTGAGGAGTTGTTTGGCTGGGAGACCTGCTGGGTAGTGGGGTTGGTTTCTCTTCTTGGTCGAAACTGTTTTCTCAAGGGATTTAATTATGATGTTGCTGCCAGGATCACATCTTCAGGGGTGGGTGAACCGTGAACCCCATTATTTGTGTGGGTATACCATGTGTTTCTATGCCACGGATGTTGAGGATCCTGGATGAGTTGCCACTTGACAGCAGGGGGAGGTGGAAGTACTACACTGATCTCTGACAGTAGCAGCCCTAGAAGAAGCTGCAGATTTTCTTCTTGAGCCGTCAGTGCATAGGACACGCTAGGGACAGAGATGGCGCGGCAAAGGTTGGTAACCGGGGTGTTTGACATTGGATGCCCATGTGAACAAAAGTCTATGTTCTACGTTCCACTCAGTTTCATTCTCATGTTGAGCCTACAAATTCATTCGCAAGGAAACAAAAAAGTACGGATTGCAAGGAGGGATGCTGAGAGTTCAACTTGAACTTGAAAGTTGGGTGTGCTGCTAGACGGATTGAAGATTGCAATCTGGAGTATCCTATTGATTTCAATAATTCAGATATTGATAATTTCAACCTTTACTTGGGATGATTCAACCCACTAATATGTTTCAAGTGGCCAATCTATTGAGTAGCCGATCAGACGGACCGTGGTAAGCTGGATCTCCCCACCTGCTTTGTCTCAAAGGCGCGTGGCTCGCACCCGAGTCCTGGTGCCCGTGAACGGCACCTCGGCGTCAGAACAGGTCGGAATCAAGAAAATAAAACAATGCTGACCATTTTGTTCAGCAATAGTCATGTATAATATATATAGTATATTAATTAGTTCAGTATATATATATAATATGTGTATTTATGTTTAGTGCTTCTCATTGTTCTCCTTCGACACTTCGGTTGAGATTGGACTTGGCAGAAGGAGCTACAGCATGGCTGATCAAGCTGATTGCTGAACTTCAATCCACTGAGACAGCATCACCGACCCACCCCATGAAAAAAGAACAAGAGCTGAGTCAGCACTGACCACCTGACCACCGAGGTTACGCCTCTCCCGCCTCCTTCCCGGGTCACGCCCACATGAGCGCCAAAGAGTGGCGAGAATTCGACCACAGCGCAACTGGGCCGCAGGTGTGCCTGGTGAACGATGCGTGTGTGGTGCAAGAGAAATAAAGATGGAGCACAAACATCGTCTACATCAACCATGAAGTCAATGAACTCATAGATTTGTTTTATCAGCAGCACGGAGGCAGCCTGTGTGTGCAACAAGCAAACTAGTTAGTTGATCACCACCCCGTATCTCTACAAAAATCAGGGGCGACGTGGGAGGCCCCATTCTCCATACGTTTTGGCAGGGGGAGGGGGGTGTATGGAAAATGTAGCTTACATTTAGGGAGGTCCCCCCTCTACAATTTTGATCTTACATTGGTCAATGGTCAGACAGATTGCAAGAACAATCAAGCAAATGATGCAAAAGGAAGAGGCAAAGCAATACAATGAGAGAAGCGCATTCCTGTTGTCATACTGTTGTCGCCACTTTGGGTGGGACGTGGGAAAATGTAAGCTACATTTTCCAGACCTGGTACCTACCTAAAGGTACCTACCAGGTGCGTGCCTAAATGTAACTTACACTTTTCCATGAAAGGGGGTTGGAAAATGTAGCTTACATTTTCCCACGTCCCCCCTTCACTAGGGGCAGGGAAGTTTGTTGAAATCCCTTTTTCCATGCATTGATCAACTAATACTAGCTAATTAGCTTTTCATTCATTCCACGAAGAAAATTGATAGATTGAATCTTGTTGCAAGCGCTGGTGACGTCCATGACACTCCACTCGCAGCTGCCCTGAGGGCTCTGCTGGGCAGTCGGCATCGCATTGGGGCAAAGGCTCGGAGATCTTTGGGCGGAGAGTTAGTGATCTTGGTGCATAGCTCACCGTTGAGCTGGTGTTTTAGTGTGTTCCATCAGCTTTTTGATCGTTATGCATGTGACTTGGCGAGCTAGCGCACGTTTTCCTGTTCTTTTTTCTCACTGACTTGGCGGACGCTGGCGTGCCTTTCTCGTGCCGACGTGCGTCAGGTCCTCACAGCCTTCCACAGTCAGGACATCATCACGGTTTTGGAGGTGGTGCCTTGCAGCAAGTCGCAGGATGAGAGTTGTGTCAGGGGTGCTGTCCTTCGTTTTTGGCATGGCGGTGGGTTTTTTCGAGGCGAGGGAGAGTGCTTGCAGATCCGTGGCATAGGAGGAAGACTGCGAAGCCCTATCTGAAAGACATGATTTAGGGTCATATATAGGGAGTTCATTGAATAAGCTTTGGTTGGCGGTGCAGGTGTTTGACACTGGGATGCCTTAAAGGAGGCACAATTTATGACTGTTTATAGTGGATTGTCGGATTGTCGTTTCAATTTGCTTTTAGGGCTACGGGTAGGATTGCTTTTGCTCAAACTATATATATATTATATCCAAAACGATTCCACTACTATATTATAAATAAACACTAAGAATTGGATTCTTCACTCGTTTGACAAGATCACCGGCCTCCGGGTGGCATTGGCAGGTTCAAGATGTAGGAAGAGCTCAAACGGAGCTCAAACGAGGTGAAGCTGACGCGCCTGGTCTGTCAGCTGACCAGAGGCTGACGACCACAGGAGTAACGCTTTGTCACAGCCGAAGGTTGAAAGAGTTGAACTGTGTGGAACTAAGCCTTCTCAGACTTCTCCAGCTGTCCAAAAAAGGTTTCTAAGACCCTGAGAATATAAGAACCACTGTGACTCCTACATGATCGGTGTTTCTTTGCGAAGAAAACTGTATGGACAGTCACCTGCAAACCCCAGCGAAGAAGCAAGCTATATAATTCCTACATGGACTCACCCTGAACCTCCTGGCGCTCCGCGGCGGCGCTTGGAGCGGCGCCATCTCCGCTCCATGTTCCGGCCACCCTACGCCTCGTCGCCGATCGGAGCCATCCTGCTTTTGGTGTGCCTGGTGGATCGGTTGCTGAAGCAACTCAGAGGTCTCTTTTGTCATGAAAGGTCCGCTCAGGAGGAGGCCTATCGGAACTTCCAGGACACGGCGAGTACTTGGGGACGGTTGGCTCAGTTGGTGGGGAACCCAGGGGCGAGTCCCTGGTCCACTAACTGCAGTATGATTCAGCCTCTTTATTACTTGTACCATTTGCACGGCTCATGTCTTAGCTACAACATGTTACAATGGTTGCCTGTGTTTATCACGAAAGGTAGCCCTTTAGGGGATACCTTGAGTTTGTCTTGCGAAGCAAGTGTTGGCGCGTCCGGGTCTAATAATTGATCATTCAATTCAACCCCCCCCCTCGAATTGATTTCTCAATACAGACCCCCCCCCTTCTAAATTCAATTCTCTCCTGGAGAACGTCTTCGTGAGCCTCTCATGATTTCAGGATAGTTGAAACCCTCTTGAACATTCAGAAAGAGTGCATATGAAATTCTAATCACGAAAGGTGTTCCCCGAGGGGATACATACCTAGAGTTTGTTTTGTGAAGCACGTCAATTCTCTCCTGGGGAGCGTCTGCGTGAGCCTCTTATGGTTTCAGGACAGTTCAAATCCTATGATGCTCCGATTCAATGCTCACCGATGATCTGAGCCATGGGGCAAGTTTGTTTTCCTAAGAATCTTTTTGAACATTTCGAGAGCGAGGGGATAGATCACCATATCTAACATTGCATTTTTGTTCCTGCCCCTCGCGTTTTCTTCTCTTCCCGCTGTCCTACCTTTCGTGTCTCCCTCCTCTCAAGTTCCCATCGTTGATCTAGAGAATGGATAGCAGAAGATAAACTTGGATACCTTGGCTTCGTCCTTGGATGTCTTTGGCTTATATACCTACACCCAATATATAACAGTCCGAGAACAATCCCCACCGTTTTCACCCGATGATAGTATCAGTTTGCTTTCGGGAAATATCACTATATCGACACTTACCTGAAAATTTTGGGGGGATGCAAGCCAACCTAAGCCAACCCTTGGGTAAAACATATGGATGATCAGCCCTGGCGACCCCTGACCTCCTCAAACAGAGCAATGTCCTCCAGGAGCGTTGCTTGGAGCGACTCTCAGTAGCGATCGACAGCTATGTCCCCGACGTGCAAGTGGCGGATTTGGCGGACACCTGTCCCGTGTGTTTGGAAGAGCTAGGTGCAGAAGAGAAGAACAAGGAGCTTCTTAACTTGGAGAAGAGATTTTGGTGGTAGTTTCGAGGATTTGATACTTTTTCCATCTCTGTAGGTCTGTAGGTTTACTTTGTGGATGTTTATCCCATATTATCCCAATTGACCAATACTTTAGGATCTTTAGGAGGACACCAGGACCTCTGTTTGATTTGCTTTGGGCATCTGGATTTTTTGCAGTGCACAAACCAATGCGGTCGCATCCGGCAACGTTTCGATTGGCTTGAAGATGATGATGCGCTTGGTCCTTTTGATGTTGCCACCCTGTACAAAAAGGTGCTGCATAGAAACATGTGATTGTTGATGAACTATATATATCATGAAATGTAATGAAACATGCATGTCGCATTCACAACAAGGTGTGCCTCGTGAAAGTTATCATTGGTAGGAGCAAGGTGCCACATCGACGAGAGATGCAACACTGCAGAATACTGCAGTTCGAAAGGCAATCAACACTCGTCATGCTTGCCTGTCCTCATAAGGTTGCATTGCAAGCACCGGTATCACTTGGACTGCTTGACGAACTGGTGCTTGCACTCTCGCCGCGACCATGTGATCAAATGCCCGGTGTGCAGGCAACTCCATTTTCTACAAGATGATTCGAAACGAGGCTCCTAGGTCGATTTGTCAGGAAGGCTTTTAAGTTTTGGTCTTTGTTTAATTTAATAGTTTCTTGCTCCTAGTAGTAAGGCCAGGAGCCCCTAGTAGCGTCCTTGCTCCTAGTAGCGATGCCAAGAGCCCCTAGTAGCGTTCTTCCTATATGATTCGAAATGAGGCTCCTAGGTCGATTTTTGTCAGGCTTTTGTTTTTTGGTTCCCCCCCTCGTGAGTGACTGAACAAAATCGACCTGACCTTACACGCATGAAAAGACCAGACAACTATTTTAAGCAATCCCGGCCCTTATTACTAGTAGCTTCTTGTTCCTAGTATAGCGATGCCCTTTGTTCCTCGTAGCGTCCTTGCTACTAGTAGCGATGCCAGGAGCTACTAGTAGTGTCCTTACTCCTAGTAGCTATGGCCGGATATGGCCGGACTGTGATTGAAATCAGTTCAGGTTCGGAAGCTCCCTGGGTGTCCGTGTAGCGATTATCGATCGCGACAGATCCTGCTGGTTGGGTGGGGTCGCATCAGAGCCTTTCACCAGAGGCTTTTGCGATGTTGGACTCTACAGGGATGTCCCCCCAAAACCAGGACACCCTCAATCCCCTACTACAGTAGGAAGAGTGGATGAAGAGCTGTTAGCTGTTCACGTGGCTGTGTCGATGGAGTGAGAAGGCTTCATTTGCTGTAAAGTATCTCACTGAGAATTGTTACTGTATAGAGCTGTACGTTCGAGTGCCGAATCTGGACTGTGGAGCACGAAGGATTATTTTTTTTGGAATCCTTTGTGCCTCAAATCTTCGGATGGGAAACAGGTTCTGAAATTTATGCGAGCCCGCACCACACTTCCCTTCTTGAACTAAAAGTCACAGGAATGTCGAAAAACTCTGATGGGATCAGGCCGTTGTCGGACAAAAAGGTCCGTTGAAGATCGTTGAAGTGTGCGACTCACAACACATCATCAACTCACAGGGCACTATCCAGATTCGGACAAGTGGCCAGAGCTTTCCTCAGGGCTCCTGGTCAGGTGCCGGTCCAAGGAAGGGGGGCGAAGACGACATTTGCAAGTCCCAAACTACTTGGATTCGGTTCAGTTTAAGTTTGTCGGGGATTCTGAGCAGCAACTTGCCGTGGGAATTCGTTGGTTCCGTTCGAAAGGCCACAAGCTGCCTTTCTGAGCCTTGAACACATCTACCTTCTGAACCTTCAAGACTGCAGGGGGCTTATGAAGCATCATGAATTCTTTGCTGTTCGGCTCTCTACACCCTGATGAGTTTAACAATTTATTCAAGCCGCTTCCCGACGACAACCTTCCCGCCCGCACCGGTTGCTTCGAGCGAGAGAGAGAGAGAGAGAGCGGCAGAGCGCATGGCCAAGTCAACACCGAATGAGCAGGACTCAACGGTGATTCAATCGTTCAAAGTGCATCGCTACTAGGAGCAAGTGCCTTACTAGTAGTAACAAGTGCCTTACTAGTAGTAACAAAGGCCTTACTAGTAGTAACAAGAAGCTACTAGGAACAAGTATAGTCTATTGTCACTCTACTTGTCGACCCCCTTGAACTTGTACATGTTTCAGGGTGTCCCACTTATATCCAATGCCTACAATGTTTCATTGTTCAATTTTTCCGTATACCCTTTTATTCATCCACTGCATGGTACTGGTCATCATGCTTATTCGAAAGTTAAAATGGGAAATAACAAGTTTGCAGGCATTGTCACATAAGTTGAACCCCCTGAAAAGTGTACAATTGGAATTGGTCAAAAAGTAGAGTGATTACAATGAACGACAAGTGACATACCTTACGTAGATCTCAAAAAAGTCACTTATTGCTATGATTTGCACCAGCAGGTCCATGAAAGGCACACTAACAATTCCTGTTCAACATGTTGGATCATTTGTCACTGCACGCATACCACTGCATTTCCTTTCCCACATCATATGGCACACCACCTTCACATCAAATGGTGCAAAACCTTCCATGTTCCTTGTTTTGCATGTTTTTTTTCCACCACTACCCTCCAGACGCACCTCATGATGCAGGAAACGCATTCCCGTGCCCAAACGATCATGCCCCCGCAAGCTAACGCTATTACGCCCTGAAGCGCCTGCGGCGGGGGCGGATTTCCCAGACTGTTTTGTATGCACACCTGGTTTCATCAGCCTACTTCTATTTGGCCTTCTATTTGGTGACCCTTTTGGTTGACAAGTAGATCAATCCTTTTGATGCTCCCTGCAGTGGCTTGTGTTTGCCTTGGAGATGTGGCACGTTCGGCGAAAAAGGAGGGCTTCGTAGATCTGGTGGCCGTCGGCGACGGCGAGGCTGAGGCACTGATTTGTTTGACGGGGCGCCGGAGTCTCCATGAAAAGGACTGGTGATTCTACTGTTTGATATCGCCATGGTTGATGTTTGATAAAATGTTTGTCCAACTCACCTCTCCAAGACCCACGTTCACTCTTTCGACAAAGTTCCGCCATTCTTTCTGTGCAGAGATAGATCAGGAGCACGAAAGGGCACAAAGGGTGATGCACGACTCAGGATGCACATGGATGCACATCAATTAGCTAATTCAGAGGGAGAGGAGGGAAGAGGAAGAAGGCGAGGAGGAGAGAGGAACATAGGAGAGGAGAATGAAAACAACCGTTTCTTGTCGGTCATTCTTACCCTTTAGCCACCGTTTCTGACACAAAAAGAAATGAACCAACCTGATCTATAGATCTAATAGATCAGCTGACCAGCACTCCATTTGAAACAAAGCCTTGGTTTCCAGTGTCCCGAGGTGCACCGCCTATGGGCGACTCCTATGGCCATCCACCGCAGCCCGCAGCTCCGTTTCACCCGGGTGGGCCACCACCGGGCATGATGGAAGCGGATCTCACGCCCAAGCAGCAGGAGATCAGGTGCAGCAGTGAAACTGATGTGAAACAGGAGCTACTAGCGTCCTTGCTCCTAATAGCGATGCCAGAAGCCTCTAGTAGCTTCTTCCCGTGTTCTCCAAGGCAAGTAAGAACATTAAAGGAACCCACCAACGGAGACCCGGGCCTCCAGGAATGTCCAAAGTTGGTCCTAAAAGTTGGAGAACCAACTCCAACGTTCTAAGTTTGGCTCTGCAAACTTTTGGTGACGTTACTCTCCTGCAGATTAACATGGACCCTGAACGCCATTGGGTGGTAGATGAGAATAGTTTTACAGGTGTCCATTTTCATGGTCCATGTTAGTCTGCCGGGGGGGTAAGAGCTTTGGAGCTGGGGGAGGTCACTGTTATGGTCAGTAAAAAAGTCCCGCCCAGGGATGCCATTGTGAATGCGCAAAAGCTGGCGAAGGACAAAGTTGACAAGGCGCACTGCCAATTCAATATCATGGCATATCCATGCCAACAACAAAAGGACCACGGGTATAATGGAGAAGCTATAAGAAACGCCAAGGTGAAAGAGCAAACTATCCAGTTTCCAGAACTCCTGCATTTAGTGGTCATTCATGGCATGTTTGCGGAAAGGCTTGCAGGTGGTGATTGAAAGGTTCTCACAGATGACGAGAGTCCATCATGGAACATTGCGAAGGCTACATGAGTCCATCTTTGGTCCAGGAAGGCTACATGAGAGTTGGACCCATCAAGACTGGACCTGGGCCAATGCCGCCCGCTCCAAAGATGCCCAGGCCTCAGGCGGCCGAACAAACGCCGCTCTCTCGAGAGATCGAGTGTTTCGGTTCAGCCCTTGCTGAGGCCCGTGTTCCAAGAGCCCGGGCCCAGCCTGGACAACAGCGAAGTTCCAGTCCACCTACCTGTTTGGTCGAAGGATCAGCTGGTGCCACCTGCGATGGCGTGGCTCGATGGGATGTTTGAGGGGACTGGATGAGAGGTGCAGGACATAGAGCTAGATGCAAACTATCGCCATTTCCTGAATGATAGCTGGCTAGTATAGAGGTTTTGGATGGTTTGGAATATATGTTTCATGGTCTATTGGTCCAGTGACCAGCTTTGTTTACCTTTGGGGACCCCTTGGTGTGGCTTGGTGTGGATTTTGGCACCGTCCTGTAGGTTGGACGTGGATGGCTCAAGGTTGGGGCTCACCAGCTGATCTAGTTCGGTTGGTATGAATCCAAGGTGGCCAGGGCACCAGCTTGGGCAACGAACTGTTGAAGCAATTGCTGTTGGATTTGGAGCGGGGCAATTCAAAGTACTTGGAGATTTGTAGCACTCAGCGCACTGCAATGAGACTCCGAATAGTGAAGAGCCCGCCAGGGCCGAAGGAAGACTCCCTCCATCTCCCGTTCATTCCCTCGTTGCACTCATTCAAAAGGTGCCTTCAACAAAAGAAACGATACCTCAGCCGCAGAGGATGTCCCAGAGTCTTAGAGACAAACTTGCTTTGATCATGGTTTGGCCCCTGTTGGCCATGAATCGCAAGTTGTATTCGGTTCTGAGGATGTGCCCATGGCTGGTGCGGGCACCCAGAGGAAGCATATCGAGTTGTGGCAAGGCTCAAGGCCAGAGGTTCAAGGGCCGATTTGCCCCAGCAGCGCCGTTCAGTCAGAGTCCATATGAAGCGGATTCGTGACAAGAAAGTTGGGCATTCAGCTGTCGGTCCTACTGACAAGTCCTCTCAAATGCCGAGCTTGAGACAAAGGAGTTTGAGCACTCTACAAATCGGAATGTGCTTCCTGGAGCAGGGGCTTCATTTGCTGAGGCCTGCTCTGCCTTGGCCTTCCTTGAGGTGCCACAGCTGAAGCCAGGAGTGCAAGGGCGAGTTTGGTGTAGCTTCGTGTTCACAACTGGCGCCGTTTTTCTCAGAAATGCTTCACCATGTGTTCTGAACCCTACTCTTGGCATGTACAAGGACGAGGTGGTGATCGGAGAAGTTTGTTTGCCACGACGCAGAGCGCGCCGCTCGGCCAGGACGACGACGACGCTTCAAGCTGGCCGTGGATTTCTTTGGATAGCTCTCCTTGCATCCGCAAGCGCCCAAAAAAGAGCGAGTGCCAACCGGACGAACCAGAGAAAGAGTGAATTTCCAAGGAGTTCCTGGTTGAATCTCTTGTAAATTATCGAAGTCAAAGCCGCGACTAAGCACATAATTTTGGATCGTTTTGGCCTTGGGAGGATCATTGTGAGTTTCTACTTTGCCCTGGTGCTTGAGCCTCAGCACCTTTGCCCAGGGCTACCCAATGAGCTTGAGAGCTCGATAACGAGAGAAGATCAAACAAACCAAAATAAGCCCAATAGCTAGCGGCTAGTGGCAATCGGCGTTGACAATCATCAACCGCCCGCTTTCTTGAGGTGTGGCGCGTTCTACGAGATGTGGCTAATGCGTACTGTGCCCTGACTCCATTTTGCAAGCAACCAAGTTGTATCAAAAAGGTTAATTTCGATCATTCAGGCTTGAAAGAACAAGGCAACTTTGTTAATGCCTCAAACGCCTCAAGCCAAGATGGGAGTACACACTGGTTCATGGTTGTATTTGTGAGTTGTCGTCAGGTGCTCCGGGGCTATCGGAGGAGAATCATTGCTTGCTGCCATGGCTTTTCTTTGTGAACCTCCAGTTGTGCTACAGCTCTAGATAATTAGTTTATGAATGTGTGTGAGTCAGAGGTTCATCAGAACCGACTCCAAGTACGAAGTGACGAATAATGATTCCAAAGTGCCCCACCAGCTCCCACGAGCTCCCACGACTGTCCCCACTTCTTCTCAATTATACGGGCTCAGCAGCCCACGAGTCCACGAGCGACTGTTTGCGCAGGATGTTCACGGACCTGGCTCTGGGGAGAAGGTATCATGGCCAGGTGGGAACGGGCCGTGGGGCGTTTGAGGCCGTCACGAGGAGTCATCATGAGACTTAGAAGGGACATGGAAAGCAGCTGGGTTTGATCCGTAGCTGATGTTTGCACATGTGACTTGCTGAAGAAATCATTTGAATGTTGACTTGAGAATCCGTGCTGAATGAAGTGCCTGGGTGTGAAACTTGAAGGGGTTTAGACATGGGAAGAGGTCTGTTGATAAAACACCTTTGAAACCTTTGGATGCCTTTGGTCATTTCTTAATGAAAAGCTTTTTGTTTGTCTTGGCCGATGCGTGTCATGAGTCGGGAAGTCTATCCTCCCCGCACGGTCTCCGTCGCACTGAGAGGAGTTGGTGAAGAACGCGGGTCCGGGGATTTTTCACGCTCAATGGGCCACCTACTGCTGCGGCGCTTTGATTGGCAATGCGGTGCCTCAACGTGAAGTCGTGGACAGACGGGGCCCGTTTGGTGCTGAGGTTTTCTTTAGACACGTGTAAAAGACTCGAAAAAATGGGTGTGGGCATACGAGCGGGATGTGTTTGATCAGGTTGTGTCTCTTGTTTTTGATTGGCAGTTGTCGTGAAGTTCCAACCCTGACAGTTCATTGGCAATGCGGACTGCTTGGGTCCGTTTCGACTGCTTGGGTCCGTGAAAAGCCAATTGAGACCCTTTTTTCGTCAGAACCGACTTGGCCTGGGATCGGGACGCTGCAAGACGATGCCAGACGCGTGCTTTGTTTTGGTCAACTGGCTGCTTCGGGCTTGTAGGGTCTCCCCAGCCGAATGGCCCGGAACCAATCCCCAAGCCCTTCGACAAACAAGGTTGAAGAACAAGAACGGATTCTGAGGGTGGTTCAGGTGGGTTCTAAACTGTTGATTTGGATCTTAGATTTCGGGCCAGCCCGATGTGTGTGTTTATTTTCTGAGGCGATGGCCCTGGCCAAACTGGCAGAGAGTTATATGCGGCTGTGTGGGTCCAAAACTCTGGAAGGGCTATATAATGTTCAGCAAAGTGCATGAGAGCTATTTGCTACTAGTAGCAAGGACGCTACTAGGTGGAGGCCATCGCTACTAGTAGCAAGAACGCTACTACATCATGTTACAATGTACAGTAATTACTGTTTAATCATGTATACTAGCCGGTGGTTGGGAGGTAGATGGAGGGAGCCAAGGGCCAACAGGCGCAACAGGGAATAGCAGAGAGCCACATGTTCCGGAACAGCACTTGCTGTAGCAAGTGGCTTAGCCAGGTCTTGCTGATTTTCATTCTTTGGGTACTGGTCCTCGTGCTCCTTGCCTCAATTGGTTGACTGGATGCTATAGTGCTGAAAGGGGCGAACAAGGATATGCAACCATTCGGAAGAATCGCACATGATGCTTGTTTTGTGGGGTTTCAGGCCACTGGCTGTGCCCTGTGCCCCATAAAAGGTTACCAAGTGGCGTGAAGGCTTTTCTATTTTGCAGATCTACTTGGACCAGCACACCAATGCATGACCAAAGAGTGAAGTGGATGCTTTGAGGCATTCTCCAGTCAGGGCTGGCTTCAAAACGACATTTGTCTACTGTCTATCCTTCTTCCCCGGCCTTGAGAAACGTCAAGGATTCATTTGCAAATTTGGACCTCTTCAGATGGTTCAGAGACAACAGTTCGGGTAAAGGTTGATTCCCCAGCTTGCTGCAATTGGGTGGTAGAACCAGGTGGAGAAGCTAATTGAAGTGCTATCTGCTATTTGATATTATTTCATCAAATGTTTCATGAGGGAAAGTCTGACCGCCTGCAGTTTTAGTTGCTTGTTTGGCTTAGCTGTTTGTGAGGCTTAGCCTGCCGCAGTTCTGGCAGATGCTTTGGGGCCTGCGGAATTGGTTCATCGTCTATGATCCTCGGCATGGATGCTCCATCCAGCACCGGAAGGGGCCGGGCATGATGCTCTCGCTGTCACACTCGACCAGCCGTTTGGAAGAGAATTTGGCTCAGGACGAGCCTTTGGAACTCTCACGAAGAAGAACATCAAAGAACTATAGAACACCGTATAGGTCATAGAACTCACTCACACATGGACCAGTCGTGCTTGCTATGTTTAGTTGGCCTTTGGGTGAGGGCAGACAGACTGCATCCACGCAGCTCGCCCAAATTCCCAAGGGCCTCACTTATGTCACACGCTGGAGCATGTTCAGGTGCCATGGATTGTGGGCTGGGGGTCTAGGTGGTGGGAAAGTACTTTATCGCATGCCTTTTTCTTTTATGCTTTCCTTTCTGGATATTGACGACATCTCACAATTTGGATTCTGCCAGACTGAAGAGACAGATCTACAGGATGTTCTGATATCTTGACATGTGTTTGTACATGTTTGACTGACCTCACCACAGACAGACGCAAGGCGTTCAGATTTCTTTTTGCCACATACCTGGCACAGGTATGTGATCCCCCAGAAGGTCGTCACGGCTGACGGTTCCGTGCTCCGGCGCAGAGTCCGCTTCTCAAAGATCCGGGACCTGATCCGGACATGTTTTCCAGACGAACGCACCGAAGATGGTCCGATTCCAACCGAAGATGTTTGGGTCTTTGCACCTTCTGCAGACCCAACATCGCAGCATTTAGACGCCCAAACCCCAAAGCCCCGCCCCTTGGCTGACTCGGTCGCTGAAAGCCATGGCACGCCGCAGCATTTTGGCGCCTGTGCTGGTCTTGGCCTGCTTTTCCGCAGCTTGGCCAAAAGCCTGGGGCAACCTTCAAGACACTTCGCCCCCCCGAAAAAGAATCAGACAACTTAGAAGACGCACTTAGATTGGGTTTCCAGGTGCGATTTCTAAAGCTCTCCCTGCGGGTGATGACCTGCTTTTGCAAAGCCACCAATCCACCCCTAAACCAACCAAAAACCAACTCAAACACTTCCGGCAGCTCGTGCGCCAGGCAGCGGCCTGGACTTTCGTGGCACCTCCGCGCGCGGAGCAGCTCGCCCCTGCCGCGCTGCTCGCGGCGTCGGCCGCCGCAGTGGCACCTGCGGCCGCGCAGGCGGTCGAGTTGCCGCAGGAGGGGAGGAGGTGAGGGCAAATCCCGCACAGGTGAAGTGCAAGTAATACGTCGCAAGATGTCGCAACGAGAAGTGCAAGATTTCGGACATATATGTATATAATATATATATATATAGAAGCACGTTCGTTATAAATAGCAGACAAGGGTTGACGGCACAGAGAGGATGGTAGCTACTAATGGCATCATTGCTAAGAAGTTTGGTATAAAGGTTTACATAGCAGACATAATTGTGTAGAACAAGTATTCTCCAACATGTCCCCTCCCATTTGCCATCCATCCAATTCCCATGAAAGCCACCCAATCCTTCATTCTCAGGAGCTGGGCTCCAGCTTGAGCCTTGCAGCACCTTTGGAGACAGTGATGCTGGGCATTGTCTTGGGCACTGTGCCCATCACCGTGTTCGGCCTGTTGGTGTCCGCGTGGTTGCAGTTCAAGAAGGGCCCCACCTTGGGCATTTGAGGCCGGTTTTTCGCCATGTGGCAGGGTAGCTGAATACGGGTTGAGAGTCGGGGAAGGTGAGGAGACTGATGCAAGTCATCATGAGTCATGTGAACTGTTTTTGTAGGGTGGAATCGCATGATACGGTCTTGAAGTTAAAGATTTGTGCAATAAATTTGGTGCAAGGTATATAGGTGTAGATGATGTATGCAGTAGGGAGTATACTCAGTACATCTCAGTACATGTTCGTTGCAGGTCGTTTAGCACGTGCCTCATTTGGAACCCATGTGTCATTTTTTGACACGGTATGATCAAGCGTTTTGGATGAAAACGCAGACAGCAGGCAACTTCACATCCCAGCGGAGAAAAAGAAAAGGCAACTCAACTCACGGAATGGGATCACTCTGGGAATGCCCAGGGCGATGTGCACCCGCCAGTAGCCTCTGAGAGTTCACGGCCGGACCGGTGGGGCACTTTTCCAACGTCGACCCGGCACGTTGCGACGCACTCGCAACGGGCCCCAACATCCGCGAAGAGGAGATCAAAGGAGCGGGGGTTGATGTGGTTTGGTGTTGGAGCACTATTCTCGTGTACCAACTAGCTAGCTGACTCGCTTTTTTGGGGGATGATGTATGTTTGACAAGCCATGGTTGCTGATCACATGCTTTAGATAAACATCATGTCATGGAGGTGGAAAGGACAAAGTAAGACGTGTTTTTGCTTCAAGGCATTTTTTTAGGTTTTCGAAGGGGTGAGTGGATTGACGAGTTGTCGAGAGTTGGACTGGGCCAGCATGTCACTTGCTCTCGATTGTTTCCAGCTCCACTGGCATTATATATACCTGTATATAAAGACTTATTTTAAAGCATATTAGCATATATATACTAAAGATTTAGCCCTTGCATTGATTCAACATCTAGCGGTGGCTAGATCTCGGACATATTTCAGGTGGATGGCATATGTTCACCTACATAATACGTCTTCTTACCTTTTTTTACATTGAAAACCAATCTAAGAAGTAAATACACCTGTCAGTTGAGACCTTCATGGACTCAGTGCCCCCTACTTCAGCCTTGAGCCAGCATCTGGCGAGCACTGAAGACTTTCGAGTTGCCCCCTGCATGGCCATATCATATCCATACACTTCATACATGAGCATAACATCCAAGAATCAAGGATAACTCCACACTTCTTTTACATATTTCCGCATGTTTTTATCATCAATCCTCCGGCACGCGGAGGTGCAGGCAAATGCAGTAGCTATGAGGTTTTCACTTTTGGAGTGCATTGTTTTGCATTTCGAGTCGGCATATGCCTCGCAGCCATATGCATTGCAGCGCCGAGGTTTGGGATTTGTTCTTTCCAACGTTGACGTGTTTGAACTTCGTCTTGGGGGCGACCAGTCCGACCCTCAGTGAGATCAGCGGTCATCAGCGCTGAGCAGCTGATCGAAGGCTTCAGGACCAAAGAATCTGGACCAGGTCCAGGTGCTTTTGAAAAGGTGCTTTTTCTGACGCATCGTTCATCCCGCCGGTGCGAATCGGCACGAATCTGCCACCAGATCCCAAGATCCCTCCGACCGCTCATGATGTTCATGAAGGTTTGGTGGAGGAACTTCCGTTCGCTAAAGGCGCCTGGACTCTCCGAAGTGCGAAACCTGCACGTGGACCTGAGCTTGCCCTTCAGCCCCTCCATGCCAAGATCCACTGTGCCATCCCACATTTTTAGAGGGACTCCAATACTCTAAAGACGCTCAAAGACACTGAATCCTCAAAAACACTTCTGCTGCCTCATGGTGCATTGCAGGTGGAGTGATCCGCACCGTGGTTCCGAGACCCAGATGGGGTCACACCCGGGTGACATGCGGCGGAAAACGCCACAAGCCCATCAGCAAAGTTCACCACTCGTGGACTCGTGATCAACAAAAATACTCAGGAGCAAGAATGCTACCAACTTAGGGGCTCCTGGCCGTACCTACTGGGAGCAGGGACGCTACGAATGGAACAAACGGCATCGCGACTCGAACGGAACATGCCATCGCTACGTCACCGGGCGCGAGACTCGGTTCGGCGCATCTATGCGGCTTCGAACGGCACGGAGGTGGGGCTTGAAGGCCATCAGAGCATCAACACTCGGGCCTGGCATGTGTTCTTGTATGTGATTGCATGTAAAGAATAGACATGGACCAAGAACGTGCATGCACCAGTTCCTGTCTCCCTTGATCAATCCTCTCCTTGTAACAGGTGTCCTCAGTGGTGTCCCCTCATCCTCTCCGGAGGTGCCCCGAAGGGGACCGAAGTCACACTTGTCTCGGTCCTTTTGTTCCGCGACCGACGTCAATGAGGTCATTGCACCCTACCTGCTGATCCATTTCTTTAGGACCCGGCGGCCATGCATGGGACAGATCATGCACTTTTCAGAGGCTGATCCGGACGCAGTGGAAGCTTAGCGAGCTTGGTTTGAGCACTGAAGATTCAGAAGTGATAGAATCCGAGGGAATTTGTGTATAAAGTTCCTCTTCAATTCCCAGATTTACTCAGAAAAAACGATATATGTTATAACATGTATTTGGGCATGCGACACGTCTATCGTGGAAAACCGATGGCTCCACAGGTGCGGTCCGTCGAGCTGATTTTGGCGGCCAGGATCGATATCACGTACTTGCCGAGTGACCTGTGCGATTGGGACTGGTCCTTCCAACCCTTTGCAGCTTGGCATCACCGGACCAGATCACCCCACCCAAAAGTCCAAGGATTGAAGGTCAGTGAGTAAGTGTCCCCCTGCAACTTCTGCGGACATCGATTCGGTCACTTCTGCGGATATCGATTTATTCACCTCTTGTTGCTGCAGACATCGGACCAAACGCACTGCTTTTGGACCGAGTCTTCACGAAAACGGTGTTGTCTTCAATGGGCGTTGCGCTTCAGCGGTCCTGATCCATCGATCGGAGGTGGTGAAAGAAGGGCATCCAACATGCCCTGCCTGCATGGCACTCGTGGCAGCAGATGTAAATGCCGAGGTTTCGTTGGTCCTGCATTCCTACAGGCTGGCACCTGAGCAGAGTCACATGATTCATGATGTTTCATGGCCAGCTTCATGCCTTCGCAGCTTGATGTTCATACCTCAACAACCTCAACAGCCTCCAAGTCCGAATTGACCACTGGCCCTGGTGGCTCACATCCTCCCACTGCAATTCCAGCTTCTTCGGCCTCAGGCGCTTGAACCCCATCCTGTTGGCCACCGTCGCGGAGTTGGGCTCGCATCGTGATCGGGACACGGGACACATCCATTGGCTTCGGAGATGAACAAATCTGTAAGAAAGACCAACAAATCCCAAACATGGTCTCCGCTTGACTGACTCAGTAGCAGCTTTGCACGTCCAGTAGGTGTTATACATTATTGTAAAGGAAAATGGGTCATACCATGTCACGCCGCACTTGTACCAACGTGGACTCTTGTGTCTTAGCCTTTTACCAGACTCTTGCTTGTAAATGTGGGTTTTCATGAAATCTCATCCATGCAGACATTCAAAGTCTACAAATATATGATCAAAAATGACAACTGGCCCAATTGATCTCGGGTGATCTTTCTGGGTTGCCAGTCAGGAGCCTTCTCCACGGAGGGATCCACGGGATCCCGAGGCCTGGCGGTCGCTGCTTTTCGGCCGGCAGGTCGGGCCGATCCAGGTTGCATCCCCCGATGTTCTGGTCGGCCGGCGCGCCAGTTCCAAGAGTTCAAGAGAAATAGAGAGGAAGGATGCAAGTTCCATTCTGGGCCACCGGGCCTAGGCAGCCTGGTCCAGCATCTCACCTCTCAACAGATGTGCTTTCGCTTTGAACTATAGCATAGCATAGCAGCATGGCCATAGCTCATCATAGCTCCCTTCAGCACAGCCTCCATGACAGGCCGAACAGGAGTTGGGCTCCATTGGCCTCGGTGAGGAAGGCCAATTGGAGGGCTGATGGCTGATGGAGTGGTTGGTGGGCTTGGGTTGTTATAACTTCTTGGCTTTGGGTCGGGTTGGTTTGGCGTGTTTTTAGTTGAGTTGGATTGAGTTCAACCATCAATGAGTATGGACAGTACGGAGGTGTTTTCAGGCATTATGACACGGTTGGAATGGCGCAGGGCCTCCTCCAGACTCCAAACCACTTGTTTTGGCACTGAACACCACCGGGCCTGAGTGCAGTGGACCATGTTCTTCGAGGCCAGCAGATATCATGTGAAGGTTGAGAGGCGACTATGCCAGGATCACCCTGGTTCCACTCTCAGGGGAGAGGCTACTTCAGCACTTCGGTTTTTCTATGTTGTTCTGAGACGTGCTCAGGCCCCCGCCTCGTCCAAGAAGTGCCTCAACGTGCGCGAACCGCGCCACTGGGACGGAGAGTTTGGGTGACCAGGAGGGCTAAGTGCTCACAGGATTTGAGGATCACCTATTCAGTTCCAGGTCAAGAGCATCACAAAGAGAGTCAACAAAACAGCCTGCATTGCACTGCTTTCCCCTTACCATCACTTTTCAACCGCCTGGACTTTGAGCTGTGCGGTTTGTTTGCTTCAAGTCCAGTATGAATATCAGGCAAGACAGGGCTAATGAAGGGGCCTTTGGATGGTGGAATGATGTTCCCTCTAATTCCGAAGGAGAGGTCCATCCATTTCCCACAAAACTCAACTCAAAACGAGCAAACCCGGCACCGTGGCACCGTGGCACCTGTGAGTTCACATGGAATTCGGTTGGAAAGGGAGTGAGTCTACGATCTTTTCGTATACCCTTCAACTCGGAAAAACGACATCAAACATGGAAGTTAAACATGAGTCCTTGGATTGACGATTGGTTTGTTAATGAGTTGGAGTGTTAGTGTTTGCACATGGTGGGGAATACAGTTCTGATCCCATGACCACACTACGGTGAAACCGTGTGAAACATACTGTATAGACTTGGACAAACATCCGGCACAAACGATATAAATCAAGGCCGCGGGCGGTGCCATTTCGCATCCAACACGTTCGGTCAAGCTTGAACTTGACTCTTCTGGAGTCCTGAGTGAAGGCAAAATGGTCATCTTGAGCATGCCATCTCACAGTGTGAACACACTGACTCACACAGAAACACATGCACACGCCACCACAGATGCCGCGACCCAGACCTGGACCCCACAGCCGCCGTGCACGGCAGCGCTGGCAACTGGCGTTGATCTTGGCACGCAACCCGCCGGGGGGCTCTGGGCACCGATGGCCGGGGGGCTCTTGGCGTTGCATTGGTTTGAAACGAAGCTGGTTAAGCCTTGTAAGTCAGTAATGAGTAATGACACATCACTTCATACTTCACTTCATATCAGACATCTCCGCGCAGTTTGCCAAGTCATCCTAGTCCACCCCGGCATGGTTTCTTTCTGTGTCAACTTGTGTCCTCCTTCGAGGTCTTTGCGGAAGCTACGGAAGAGCGCCTACGCCGGACGCGCGGACAGTGCGCCTGCGTGCCTGGGGACGGAGGTGTCGCGCTTAGACCGAGGCCTGACGAGGAACGGCAGCCCCTTTATTCGCTAGTAGTAACAAGTGCATCGCTTCTAGTAACAACAAGAAGCTATTAGAAACAAGTGCCACGCTAGTAGTAACAAGTGCCTTACTAGTATATATAGTAACAAGAAGCGAACGTAGAAACAATAGAAGGTAGTAGAAGCTTCTTGCTCCTATAGTAGTACCGTTCGGAGCCCCGTTCGTAGCGTCCGATCGCTCCGTTCGTCGTAGCGATGCCAGGAGCCCCGTTCGTAGCGTGCGACTTCTGGGTGAAAATTCCGGAACATGGACTGAATGCTGAATTTCTCGACCCCTCTTCATATGTACAATGCTGGATTTCCAACCGTTTTGAGACCACTTCCTGCCCTGATTGACAGGATGGTGCCTTCATGTTCCTTCCTATTCACTGGGCTCAGGTGGATACGCTGATGCCGCTGCGGCTGCCGGGCTTACCTTCTCGACGGCTCGAGAGCAGCTCCACGGCTTTTTGGAGCCCCCTGAGCCGCGCTCGAGGCGAAGTGAGACGTGCTCGGGCGCCGGGCACGCGCTCACCTTCCGCCTGGTATGATGGCGAGGTAGTGGTAGCTCAATCAGATGACCTTTTTCAATCAGAAGAGTGGCACCCCCAGAGCAGAACCACTGATTAATTATGCACAATAAGCCTAAATATGTCAAACATTGATGGCTAATTGAATGAATTCATGAAGAATTGAATTGCTTAGCCCTCCATTAGGCACTCCAAGTCTCTCCGTGCAGGCGCCCGAACGCCGCTGCTCAGTGAGTCTGCGCCGGTGTTTCCGCCTGAGGAGGCCGATGGACGGCCCTGAAGGGACCAGAAAAAGAACGGCGCGAACGGCGCCGTCAGGGGCCCCGGCTGGTGTTTTTGGGTGTCACTGGATTGCGCTGATTGATGTGATTTTTAGTGTTCACTCATGTTGACTCATGTTCACTCCACTGGTCACTGGGGATTTTGCAGGACTTGATCTGGCTCAAGTCTTGGAAGATATGGGGCTGATCTCATGATGTCGGAGCTTTGTGGGTGGAGCCGTGTGGACGCGGTGCCTGGCGTCTCACCAGCTCGTGCCTAGCTACCACTCTTGTGAAGGATGGACCCGCGTGGGCCGGAGATCGGAAATGCTGCCTCCAAGTATGCCAAGAGCCAGGATTGGGAGACTTGGACGAGTCCACATCGTATGTTTGTTTCTGTGCGGTCGCTTGAGATAGAAAGACCCATCTTCCCAAGTATGTAGCACAAGCACTGGGAAGTCAGAGCCATAAACCTTTGGTGTTTCATTGGTACTTGGCTAGAAAATGCTAGAAAGCATGTCTTGACATATATATTGTATAGCGATGTATAGCGTGTCTTTCAGGAAAAGGCAAGCAATGCAAGAGTAAAACATCTTCAGTTTGGCTCCTCCTTTGGCAGTTTCACTGGACGTTGTGGCCACTGCAGTGTGCTAAGGAGAAGGCTCTTTCCCTTGCTGCAAGCCATCCCCTGGATGGTCGGGTCTATGTAGAATTGGCAACGGCCTGTGCGCGCCAAGTGCAGTGGAGAGAGGCGTTGCTGATCACGGAATCCTGGCCCCATATGGCACGTGAGTCATTTTCCTATGGCTGTCACATAAGAAGTCAAAGCTTCTTGTAACCTCCTAAGGTCCCAAGGTGTTTAGATTAAATGTTGGCTGTACTTAACAACATGCATGGGCACAGTTTCTCGGGTTTAACTGCTGTTTGTAGGTGCTCATGGATACACCTCCTGATGTCCCACCACAGTAAATGTCGGCGCCTCCCATGGAGTGCAGTCAGTGATCAAGATTGATTGGTAGACCCAAGAATCATGGGTGCAATTAACCACACTCCACTCGCTTCGCTCTCTCCTTGTTTGCTTGGCATGCCTTCGGGCTTTGCACGTCTCTTCTCCGAGGACTTGGCACCGAGGAAGAGCCGTTTGTTCGTAGCCACCGCGGGGTTCAAAGCGCTCGAGGAGGCGATGCAGTGGACGAGAGCCTTAGAGGTCTTGAAGAGCCTGGAGAGCAGCACTCGCCCGGGCTCAGCGGCTCAGCTGGGGGAATTTCGGGTCCCAAAAGGGGTAGGGCAGTGGGCGTGGCATGGGGCAGCTGGATCGAGCTGGGTGATGGGGTGACAGACGGAAAGGTGGATCAAGGCCAATCAAGGCTCAAGGCTTGTGAGGCCACACAGAGGGTTGGACACTGCTGAGGTGTCCTACAATGCTTGCTTGAGCGCTTTGGCTCGGGGGCAGCGATGGATGGAGAGCCTTGAATTAGCCTCAGAGATGAGGGAGAAAAAGTTGATGAACATCATCAGCTACAACAGCTGCATCAATGCATGTGGGGATCACTGGTTGCAAGCCTTGGACTTGCTGGAGGAGCTGTTGAGGTCTTCACTCCAGGCTGATGTGATCACCTTCAGTAGTGTGATTACCGCGTGTGCCAAAGGGGATGAGTGGCAAAGAGGAGTGGACGCTCCAAACACACGAGGGATTACCATGCATTTTCTTGATTCTTTGCTTGTGGATGGTTGGGGGTTGAAAGTTCATATACGGTAGTATTATACAATTAAGTTTCTTTAACAGCCACCACATGACACGACTACTCATTTTGACCACCTCTCGATGCATGGCATGTGTCCACACATATGGCAAACCATCCCTTTTCTACACAATGTAGTCATTTTGCTCGGTCGTTTTGCTCGTTTTGCTTGGGTCTTTGGACCACTTTGGATCTCCAGGATTGGTGGTCTTTGAGTCGGCAGTGCACTCAGTGGAGACTCGGTGGACTCAAACGAACCAACCGAGGTGTCACACCCAGTTTCACGTGGTGAACGGGGCTGTTTCCTTATTGAGCCCTCGGAGCAGAGGCAACGTGTTCTTTCCATCTACGCACCTTTCACTAGTAAAAAGGATCACCAATGACCCCCTCTGAGCTTTCCTGACCTGTTGGAACAGGTGGAGTTCCACAGTTCCACACCCCACGTTTCTCTTGGGACAGGAATTCTAACGGAGGAGATGTGTTCTGTTGAGAGGAGATGCTTTTCCATCCGACTTTTTTTGGGAACAAGAAGGTAGTAGGGGCTCCTGGCATCGCTACTAGGAGCAAGGACGCTACGAACGGGGCTCCTGGCCGTACTACTAGGAGAAAGAAGCTACTATAGGAACAAGAATTAGAATTAGAAACAATAAGCTACTAGGAACAAGTGCATCGCTTCTAGTAACAAGAGCCTTACTACTAGAAACAAGAAGCTATTAAGAACAAGAACAAGAATTAGAACATCTGAGCTCTGGAGACCAAAAGAATAAAGGGGCTTCTGGGAACTTCTGGCACTTTTCGTCGACACCTGAGACCCGAGGAGCCCAACCGGATCCTCCTCTCGGCGGCGGTGACCTCCGCCGCGCGCGGCGCGCAGTGGCCACGCGCCATGGAGATCTTCGCGCGCGCTGATGGGAGCAGCGTGCAACCCGAGACCTGGCGATGGGAGCGTCCAAAAAGGGGCTTTATTGTCACTAGCTTAGTATAGCGGTGGTCTCCACCTAGTAGCTTGTTGCTACGTAGTAGAAGAGAAAGGGGAGTCGGGGAGAATGGGAATTGGATGGGAAAGGAAGGCGACATTCTCCTTCCATGGCTGTGTGGGCAGGAAAGCGTGGAGCTAGTCGTGGAGCGGTGTGGAGCTGTTAGATGTGGTTTCAGTTTTAATGGTTTGGCGTTCTTGTTTGCTACTCGGATCATCCAAGGACGTCATCATGGCAAGTGCTTTGATCAGTGCCTTCGAAAGGGCTGGGGAGTGGGAGCGAGCCTTGTGCATTCTTGCTGACCTACCAGCCCAGAAGACGCTGTGCTGAAGTGTTTGAAGACATGCTGCTTTCTCATTGAGCCCGCTCCACAGAATTGAGATAGCTCACCAGCGACTCAGTGAGGTGCCCACCAGGGTGGCAGACGTATACAAGTGACATCAAGTGACGATGTTCATTCAGCGGCCTCTGAAAGGCCCTGGACAGGGGGGGCTATCCAAGCAGTGATCTAATACTAATAGCGTCCTTGCTACTAGTAGTAATGCCCGGAGCTACTAGTAGCTTCTGACTCCTAGTAGCGATGCCCTTTGTTCCTAGTAGCGATGCCCTTTGTACCTGGAGAAGGTGGGAAACTGCCCCGAACCAGTCAGAACGATGGTTCTTTTTGACTCAAATTCTGGCGGTTGGTGGCGGAAGGTGGATCTATGCGGGGGTTCGACCTGAAGAACTCCAAGAGTTAGTTTAAGTCGTTATCAACAATGGAACATGCCGGACCACTCCCCCAGAAGCTCCATCTTCTTTGGCTCGACTCTACTGACCAATGATGACTCTTCCTGCTCGGGCCGAAAAACAAGCCCAAGCTTTGGGCATGCCCAGGATCAAGGCCAACCTGGTGGCTTACAATGCCGCCCTGAGTGCCTGCGAGGTGGCGGGAGAGTGGCAACAGGGACTTCATTTGCTGGAGGTGAGCGACTTTCGTGTGGGTGAAAGGGCAAGCCAAAAAATGCTAAACAAGAAGCGACATGCAGCTGCCTCGAATTGTTTGGATTTGGATGGACTGGTGTTTGGATTCCCGGGTTAGATATTTCTGAGATGGACGAGCGTGCTTTTGAGGGCCAATGACATGGTAGGCCGCTATTTTCTGCCCAGCTTCAGTCATACGTCAGCACCTTCTTTCAATCTTTTGCCGCTCCCAGGGGCAGAGAGCAGGTTCTTCAGCCAATCTTCCAACTGCCAGGAGCTCCACCAGCAGAAGCTCTCTGCAGATCTGGTGACCCTGAACGCTCTCCTGGGCGCTTGCAGCCGCGTGCAACGATGGGAGGAGGCGATGGATTTGCTACGAGCTGCTCAGCAGAGCCGCTCGGCGCTCGGGAGGAGTCGTGGAGGAGTCGGATCATCCGCTGCAGAGGATGAAGCCTTTTTTGGGGGCCAGGACAGGAGTCACATCGTCGGAGTGGTGTTTAAACTGTTTAGTCACTATAATAGTCCCTTAGTGAGAGGATTCGTGGTGGATGTGATGTTCTGGACACCCCGAGTTTCCTCCAAATCCGTGAACAACCACTAGGCACCCCAGCCAGTGACTCCTGGAGTAGTTGGCTTTATAATAGAGTAGTAGGTCAACATGTAGCTTGGCATCAAGTCTTCAACAAGCTGTCTCTTAATGAACCCAGCGTTGTGATTGATCTACCCACACCAGGTGTAGAGATTGATCGGCAAGTGAGGGAGCCATGAACCAGAACTCTTACAGACCTGAGGGCAGGTGGGTTGAACAGACAAACACTGGCATCTGATTGGACCATGCCACGTCAACAAACTTGATTTGGCGCTGCCTTTGGCGATTTTTGGTGGGTTGTCCATTGATGTGACCTGATATCATTCCTGCCACCCACCACAGCTTCAAAGAAGAACAACTCTCTTAATGTGCATTGTGGAGGCAAAGTACTTGTACGTATTCACTCCCGCATGCCATTTCACTTGCAAGCTGTTCCTGTGTGAGGCAAGTTGTCATTGAACATCTTTGCGTGCAGCACTGCAATCAGCACTTGCGAGAAGGCATGGCTGCTTCGACACGGGCATGGTCAGTGTTGGTTGACCTAACATGGATAATCCACCCACATGTACCAACATTATAGTTACAGTCCTATTTTGCTTGCCGTAAGAGAGGCCAATGAGTGTGTTAGCCATTCTTGCAATGCGCAAGCCTTGGCAGATTGGGATTCAGGACTTTTTTGGTGAACATCGCTTTCTTATTGCTTTCTTCGCTTACCATGCCAGAGACGGGAGGCACCTGGAAGTACAGTCCCGTGGTTTTGAGGCGAACGAGTGGCGACGGGCACTCGAGATTTTTGCGGAAGTGAAGGCTCTAAATTTGATTCTCAGCGGATTGAGCAGCTTTTTCAAGCTAGTCGCCAACTTTGGATACAAGCTTGCTGACCATTATTTCTTTGTGTGTTAAATGACTGCGTCTGCTTCTTGGAAACTCATACTCTAGGCAGCTGGATGTGGTTGTATTGAGTGCTGCCATCAGCGCTTGTGAGAAGGGCGAGAAGTGGCGTGGCTTGGCGCGGCTTTGTGCTGCGACGTGTGCACAGATCAAAGCGCGTGTGAACTGGTTTGTAGGTGGCCATCCTTTGCAGCGCTTCAGCTTGACCCAACGCATGGAATGTCGAAAGTTGCATTCAAGATCGTAGCAAGACAGCGTGCCTGCCGCCTGCAAACCTGCAAATCAAATAATTACAAAATCCCAGACCTACTGAACTGCAAACCAACCCACTGATCAGCCCGAGCGTGGCCAGATACTTGACGGCATTGCTTCTGCACGAGCCGACTTGCTCGTGCAATGATAGGAAATGATTGAGGTATTCGTAAAATATATGACTTTGTTTTCGCTAGTCGCTCCTATTGATTGTCCTATCGGAAGGGCCCAGGTGCTGCAAGCAGGAGACATGAATGTATGATCGCCGAGTGTTTTGCTACTTCAATTGTTGTCACATTGGCGTTCCGTGATGGGTAGCTGATGCCCTTTGGAAAGTGTTGCTGACAGGGTTATGATGATACTGACCTATTGGAGGAAGTGCCATTTGAGATTGCCACAGGCCAGGCAGTTGCTTGGGTCAACTGTATCTCTTGAACGTTGACGTGTGCCAAGGCATTTTTCGACAGCTGCAAATACCTGCTTGCAGACTGCAGATCAGAACAGGGTCATGATGGTACTGACCTCTTAGAGGAAGTGCCGTCTGAGATTGCCACAGGCCAGG